ACCCAACTTGTTAAGCTAGGTTATTACCCGGCCGTGGTATCAGGAGACAGGCCGGGCTTGGAAACAACTTATGTCATACCTCATGTATTTTACAGTCCCGCCATGTCTTTGATTTGTTCTCTCTCGACTTGCCTTTACATCTATTGGTATTTGTCCTCTTTTAACTTTTATTCAACTATATTTTCACACAGTGAAACTTTAAATCGGTGTAACAATTCATCTTTCGACTAATTTCACTCAATTTGACAATCTTTTCCTTCCTTTTTTATATTTATTATGTGTTTTTCTTTAGTTTTCCCATAAAAAAATGTTAAATCTTTTGAATTTCAGTTTTACAAATAACATGTAAAAATGAATAGATTTGTTCTGGCCAATCCTTGCCTGAACATTAACACCCAACCTTATCTATGCTTAGTATGGGGAATGTAATGGTATCGAGATACTCACCTAGCTCTTTAGTGTTAATGGATATGTTCTCAACCATAAGAAAATAGTATTACCTTTCTTGAAAAGTCAAATTATCGATTGGAATGGTCTTAGAGCCTTTGGCCTAAATGTTTCATTTTTGAATTCTAAAGAATCTCGGTCGATTTCATTTCAAAAGACTTAAAAATAAATGGTACCAGATGATTATTTTACATTTTCCCGCCATTCACATTATTGGAACTCACCATTATCCACACAACTTTGTCAACCTATCGCATCTTCTTCACGGTATGCAAAATTCGCTCGTAGATTGCGTATACCGGTTTCAGCCAAATCTGTGGGAACTCCCCTCAGCCGATCGGCAGCAAATTCCTAGGACGCTCCTCCATCTAGAGGGATCATCTGCAATACGTCAGTTGATGCATGCGCGTCAACTGTGGTAGCCACGACCTTATCAATCCTTTAGTCACGTCATTTTGCGTTCAAATCCTGACGACCTTCAATACAGATATTTAGTTGAAGTGCATTGTGTATAACATATATGCACAAACTTCAAATTTATGAATTGAATTTCATTCCGAAGAATGTGTAAACGAATAGTTTAAAATCCAAATATTAAAAAAAAATCAGAAGGATCAATTTGTTTCTCGATACGCAACTTTGCCCAACTGTCGCACCCGTCCATAGATGCGATTCGCACATAGATTACCTATAGGATCGGTGGTGTACACTGCCCCCGTCGTAGCTGGTCTCCGCCTAGAGGGATCTCTGCAAGAGTATACGTCAGTGTATGCGTCAAATGCCAGCACCATTTCTTACCTGTATACCCGTCACGTCACACTCCGCCATCAAAATCAACAAATGATTCGCTCACAACGTCGTTCATCCAACAAGTCTATTAATTGGAAGGGCACTCTCCGCCACAAACTCGCCCTTGACCTTCTGCTCTGTTTAATATATAGTGCAAGGCCTAGCTTGCAGTTCTGCATATACAATAGGGATTTGGTGTTTGTCTCTATGTTAGCTAAGCTTTTATCGCTTTCTCCTTGTACCGATCTTCTATCTTGCCAGAGAGCGTGATCAGGATTGATTGTGGTCAATCAAGTACTACTTAGTACTTTGTCACATTGCAAAAGATTACCAACGTATGTTGGACCCAAACTTCATCCACTAACCCCAAACCTCGGCCCAAATTATTCCAATTTCCCAGTGCTCTCAAGCTTTGGGCCGTTGTAAGGGACTATAAAAACCCAAACTCAAAGTATATGGGCTCGCACCGAAAAAATGGAGCGGCCCATCGTCGGGGGATGAAGACTGCTCTGCGGGACCGGTTACTATAACAACACCGGTTGTCAATCCGTGGGTCGACCCAGATCCGAATGAGCTAGTGGGTCAAGGGTTAATGGGTCACCCGTTTTAGTCCGGTTTAGCCCGGATTAACCAGGATATAAGAGAAAAGTTATTATTTTTTATACATAAATTTATTATATAACCAATTTCAGATGAAAAATAACATATAACATTACTCCAAAATAATAATATTCTAATGTAGAATTGTGAATAATTAATTGGCTTATATATACCAGCAAAATAAAATGATTTATTAATTAAACAACAAAAGGGGAGGGGAAATATAGTTTAATTTAAGGTATAGGATTATAATATAGTGTTTTGAAACTTCGGGAACTACAAATAAATTTTAATTTAATGGAGCATTTTGTAAAATTTCACCCAATCTAACACATTTGACAAACCCTACCTACCCCCAGCTCTCTCTGCCCTGCGCCCCTGCCGCCAACTTCTTCTTCTATTCTCTCTTTTCATTTTCTGGAACCAAAATGGAGATTAGAACAACAACAAAAAAATCCCCGCCATCCCTACAACCACTCACCTCTCTTATTCAATCTTCTACTGAAAAAGACTCTCTTATTCAATCCGAATTCCATTTATTCTTCAACCTACCAATCAATCTCTCTCACCGCCGATCACTTATGCCGCCATCCGGATCTCTTCATTCACCATAAGGATTTCGAGCTCTCTTTCTTTCTCTCTAACCTTCGATTTCTTAGGGGTCGCAGCCTAGTGAAGCAGACATGGATGCATGAGGTTTGCCGGCGAACTGGACCTCCGGTTGGTGGGAACTGGGAAGTAGGATAGGTGGGAAGATCATCTTGTTGGTATCGGTGTCGCACAAGGAGCAAGCCCACAGACCCGCTCCGTCTGGCCAACCGCCGGGTTTGCCGGTTACCTCCGGGTTTGACCGAGTTTGACCAGATCCGGGCGGAAGCTCTAATGGGTTGTTGTAACCCGTTTTTGTGGGCGGGTCCGGGCTAAACTGGGTTGAACCGCAGGTTGACAACCTTGCAACACCCATTGTATTGTTATTGTAACAACACTAGTCCCCAACCAATAGGAAGCTAGGATTGTGATGGCTTTTTATTAGATAAGTTGACCTAGTGTAAAATCAAAGCAGGGGTATAATTGTCATTATGAAAAATCTATTTAAATAAATAAAAATAAAAATAAAAAAAATATTTTTTTATTTTCTGTCCAAAAATTTGGTCGCCGGAATTCTGCCACCGGACGTCGGAAAATGGTCGCTGGTCACCGGAATATGCTTTTTGTCGCCGGAATATGCTATTTGTGGTCGGAATATGCTTACCGGCGTCGGAATCTAGTCATAGGGGCCGGAATATGCCTATCGGCGTCGGAATCTGCTCACTGACGGTCACCGGAGTTCGATCAACGAACTTCGTTGACCGGTCAACGGTCTTCGTTGACCGGTCAACGACCATTGGATGTATGGTCTGCGTTGTGAGATTTATGGTTTGGTTTCTCACATTTTTTTATGCCTTTTGTGGTTTGCTTTATCGTGTTTGTGGTTTGCATTGAGAAGTTTCTGGTTTGCTTTCAAAAATTTTGTGGTTTGCATTGAGGGGTTTTTGGTTTGTTTTAATATATTTGTGGTTTGCATTAGGACGTTTATGGTTTGCTTTTTTGTGGTTTGATTTACTGTGTTTGTGGTTTGCATTAGGAGGTTTCTGGTGCGCTTTCGCAAATGTTGTGGTTTGCTTTGTGAGGTTTGTGGTTTGTTTTATGAGATTTGTGGCACGCATTAGGAGGTTTATGGTTTGCATTAAGAAGTTTCTGGTGTGCTTTCGAAACTTTTGTGGTTTGCTTTGAGAGGTTTCTGGTTTGTTTTAATATATTTGTGGTCTGCATTAGGATGTTTTTGGTTTGCTTTACCGTATTTGTGGTTTGTATTAGGGGGTTTCTGGTGTGCTTTAGAAATATTTCTGGTTTGTTTTACCGTGTTTCTGGTATGTTTTAGACAATTTATGGTCTGCATTAGGAGGTTTCTGGTATGCTTTCGAAATAATTGTGGTATGCTTTGTGAGGTTTGTTATTCTATCCGACGTTCTTACTAAATGAATGGAATTAGTAACAATAATTAGTAATGTGTATACTTACCAGATTCGTATACATAATTACATAGTTCTCTCTTAATTAATTATGTTTTCACACATAATTAATTCTTGTCTCTCTAATTCATTTGCTTGTATGGAGGTGAGGACATGGACTGGATAATGAAATTCACCACCACAGCACAAGTAGTAGCTCGAGCAGCAGGAATCACCATTAGAACCCTAGCGAAGGCCTTCCGCCGTGAATCCACCACAAAGGAAATCGATTCCGGCCAGCCCCCGCATCACCTCCTCCGGCTCCTCGACCACAACCTCACCGCCCGCCGAGACATCAATTGAAGCAGGGGTTTACAACGTTCCCGATTTTGTTACCAACACCTCTCCTCCCATGCTCTTGACCTTGGGTCCGCCGAGTTGACGGCTCCAGAATCATCATACACTCCAAAGGCGGTGTAAATCGTCATGAGATCTACAACGGTGGAGGCCATCAACGGGGGAGAAATGGCAGAGTTCATTTCCAGACGGCGGTGGCGGGGAAGAAGCGGCGCGAAGGAGCCTACCGATAGTTGAGGTTGAAAAGATCGGCGTCGGTGTTAGAAAGGAGAGGGGGTATGCAGAGAAACAGTCGGCGGAAAAGCTGCCTCGAATCGCCGCGGCCACACATCACGACTTCATATCTGAGATGACGTGGCTATGGCCTCTACGATTTCTGATCGGATGACGGAATCCAAATCTAGAAGACGGCGGATGAAAGCGACCTTCTGCGGGTAGCACACCAGCGCCACCGTGTCGCTCTCCGTATCCATCGCCGTCGTACTAAACTCGTCGGAGGCGGTGTGGTTGTGGTTAGGAGGGAGTCGACTGGTGCGATGGCGATGGCGATGGCAGAGGATTGACGCCGGAGAAGAAGAAAAAATTGTTCAGAGGTACAGATTTGGTCGATGTTGATGGGAAGAGAGATAAATAAAACACGCTTAGAGTATTTAGATTTTTTTTTTATTTGTTATATTCATTGTTCTTTTACTAGTATGCCCTTGTTGTTATACTATCCGCACCCCTGCTCTGCCGACTGCCGGTATAAGGCGCATAAGATCACCAGGATCAACACCGGGTATGAGTTCGTAGTATGCTTTTGAAAAGAGTAAACCCGACCCGTAATTATACAACCTGAAACAGATTGATCCCACCCATAAAAAATTGGACTGTCTTATTTCTATGTGCTTGGCATTCAACAGAAGTATAAATGTTTTCATGAATTTAAACAGTAGAAAAAGATCGCCAGGCAACAGTTTTAGGCAAAGAAACACCAGAAACATGCAAGTCTACATGAAGCAAAGACAAGACAGCTGCAAGTCTCAATAACCACAAATTTGCTAAACAAGCTGTAAAAACTAAACCCATTAATACAAACCCAAAACAACAGTGAGAAACTTTTACCCCCCTTGCTTAAGAACTCTACCACAACAACGGCTGGCTGGTGTAACGGCTAGGGCCAATGTTACTGGCATAGCTGCTCAACTGCCGTCACAATCTGGGCAGGCTGCACAATTGTGAATTCCTCCAGTGTCCCAGCATAAGGTGTCGGCACATCCTGTGAAGATAAGCACACGATTGGGGCATCCAAATAGTCGATGAAGTTCTCGTTGATTGCAGCAGTCAAGCTAGCACCAATCCCTCCCGTCCTCATGCATTCCTCCACTATCAGCACCCGATGCGTCTTCTTCACCGAGTTCCCAATCGTGTGAAGATCAAAAGGTTTCAAGGACCTGATGTCAATCACTTCAGGGTCGTATCCCTTGTTCACCAAAGTCTTGGCAGCCTGCATCACGTGATATCTCATTCGAGAGTAAGTCAAGATGGTGATATGTTCCCCTGGCCTAACCATCTCAGCTTCCTCCAGATTGCAGATGTACTCTTCATCCGGGATTCTTTCCTTGAGGTTGTAAAGCAGCACGTGCTCGAAAAGGATCACTGGGTTCTCACTTCGGATTGCAGCTTTCATCAAGCCCTTTGCATTGTAAGGAGTGGAGCATGCAACCATCTGGATTCCAGGGATGGACTGGAAATACGATTCAAGACGCTGCGAGTGCTCAGCACCAAGCTGGCGTCCAACACCACCGGGCCCACGGATGACGATTGGGATGGTGAACTGGCCACCTGAGGTGTAGTGGAGCATGCCACAGTTGTTTGAGATCTGGTTGAAAGCTAGGAGGAGAAATCCCATATTCATCCCTTCCACAATTGGGCGTAATCCAGTCATGGCAGCTCCAATCCCCATACCGGTGAAGGCATTTTCAGCAATTGGAGTGTCGAGAACCCTGAGATCCCCAAACTTGTCAGCTAGCCCTCTGGTCACCTTGTAGGAACCTCCATAGTGACCCACATCTTCCCCCATGACACAAACCCGATTATCTCTGTCCATTTCTTCTTCTAGCCCTTCTCGTAGGGCCTCATAAAGCAGAAGTTCATGTCTGGTTATAGAAAGATTGAGATAAGCAATTCACGAGAAGAATTTGCAAACTTAAAGAGCATAAGGGACATTAAAGCAGATCCCATAATAGACATGGCAAGTGAAAGCATATACTGCAGTATGTATCAGCTTCAAAATGTTAGTGGAAGTGCACCTCAGCGAACTCATTGTAAGTCTATGGCATGAAATTTTTTTGGCAAGCATCTGTTTTAGGTTGCATATATTGTTAGCCATCTATTTCTCTAAGACATTTTGAAAATTTATAAAAAGGCACAACCGTCAAAATCAAGTGGCTTGACAACCGACTACTGGTGAATGTGTTTCTATGACATTTCTTCATAAAACACAATATACCAATAGATTCGAGCATGCGTAATTTCTTTATGCAGATATTGCATGCACACGACACAAGCCTCTGGATTTTGTAAGCTTCATGGAAGGGGGTATTGTAAAGGCTATATTTGTTGCCAGGAAAAAGTTATATAAGTGACCAACAATCTCTCTAAAGGTAGTACCACCATACTTTCATCTGTTAGCCAATGTTTCTACTTTCTAGTTTCTACAACATCACATTGAAGCATGCAACTTAAATGGTTATTGCGCGGGAGCAGAAATGATACAACTGATATGATGCAATTTGGTTTTCTAGCATAAAACTCTCTGCAGTTTGCTGTTCTAGCACCAAAACAATTGCCCCAAGGTAACAAACGATACGATCAAACAGCAACAAGTGGTTGAAATTATTCACAGTTGTACTTTCATAAGTAGAAGCATACCCGGGTTTAGATGCAGATGCTGCTGCAGCAGCATCGGCCTTAGTCTGGAAAAATCAGAAAACAAAGCACGAAAATTTAAGGTCAGCCCACTTAACCTACTCCTACAAAATGATCATACATCAAGACTGCCAGACTGGTAGAACTGGTTGAAAGGAGGGAAGCACTTACAGCAACAGCATTGGTAACTAATTGGTCAAGCCTGCGAGCTCCAGCACTAGAGCCCGTGTTCAAGTTCAGACTACCATCAGATCTGACCACGACCAAGCTTGTTTTCTTGCCTGAATCAAACAAACCACCCTCGCCAAGTTAGGAAATAAGCCAACCATGATGTTGATTATCGGCTAAAGCTACAAAAGTTAGGTTCTTTTCCACGACAGACAGATAAGAAAATGCAGGGCAAGGAAAGAAACGAATCAGACTTTTCACTATCGCCAATGGGCGGAGAATCCACTGAGACCAAAAATGAATAAACAAACTACCAGAAAACAAAAGCAAGGCTGAAAAGGGTAAAACTAGGTTCATCCATGGCCAGTGTTAAAGACACAGATAAGCTGCCAAACCCTTCAATCGAAGCGCTGATTGGACAAAATGAACTTCAAGGTTTAAGCAAACCCCAACGGAATAGTGAATCCATATTCCAATCACTCTTGGGATCAAATCACAGGTAGGGATAGTGATTCAATAATTGCAATCACAAAGTAAATCAGCTTCGGGTCGCAAACAAGTGGACAGGCGCAAAATTAAGCAGGGGAATGAAAAGGGCAGGAGCCAAACCTGAGAAGGATCTCCTCGAGGAGAGAAGGAACTTGTTGGAATCGAGGGGATTGGCGGCGGCAGTAATTGCTGCAGTTGCTCCCAGTCCCTGGAAAACAGTCGCCATTTCCGGGAACTTCACTGGCAGCGGATTGGGAACGAAGAGAAGAAAATGCAGAGGGGAGGCAGGGACAGAAGGAGAGGGAATGAAGGGAGGGATTGCCTGAGGGAACTTATTAATAAAAGGGGGAATGGAGCAATGGGGCTGCAAAATTGTGGAGAACTAGAGGAGGGCAGGAGGCGGAGACGCCGAGGCTGCTGCGATATAAATGCGTGCTTTCTAGTTATTAGCTGGTGGACTGTTGAACTAAGTTTGTGTTTCTACCGGAGGACGGGAGGGAGAGAGTGGTGGCGATTATTCTGAGGCCAAATCGTCTCCCGTCCCGTTTTTAGTTTTCATCGGCCCTTCAGGTCGTTGCAAGTCCACCAGCATTATTCTTATTTTGTTATTCTTATTTTATTTGTTTTTACATTAACCTAATTTTACACATTATTTAATTACTAAAAATATTAAAAAAATAACGTACATTTTAAGTTGTACAATTAAAACATTTTGATAATTCATGGACAAAAGTCATTATCATAAGTAAACAACACAACTCATGCAATTTTCTCTTTTGGATTCCTAAAAAACTTAACATTCAAAATGCACTTCAATTTACTCTTTGTTATTATAAGTTACTGCAATTTTTCTTTTTGATTGCTTCGTCATCAAAAACATCTTCTTTATCAATAGTCTCTTCATTCTTCTCTTACATTTCACTGAAACCAATTTTAATTATAAAATAATTGAAAAAAATGAAACATCTTTTCACGATGCAAGAATTTCACCTCATATAAATCATAAATATTTCAATCATTCCCTCTTCCTCCCATCACAGATATTTCTATATCCACCATCAATAATATATTTCTTTTTCTCAATAATGTCCTTATCTCCATCACTGATTTAACTACCTTTGATATTAGAAATCAGTATCAAGATTCTCTCTGAGTATGAGCGGTGAACAATTGTCTCCGACGACCGTCCTCAACCCATCCGACAGGCCGCCAGACCCATCGTCATCGTCGATGCTTCTTATAAAACCAGGATCTTCGACGTCGACTATTTCGGACTCAATGGCGGTGGATACTCTGGTAACACAGAACCCGGAGGGAGGGATTCCAAGGCCGACACCCTCCTCCTACGCTAATGCAGTCTCGGGTCCAAACTTGGATTCGTCTAAAGCGGTGATGTCATGGACACCAATAGGTGAACATGACCTAGACGGGATCTTACAATGTGGAACCTGAACTTAAAGTTTCTGAAGGGCTCAAATCCAAGCTCAACGCACCCTAGCAAAGATCCCTAGTTGTCCGCACGTCATTCGTCCATGTCGACTGGCTTCTCGGCCGAGGTAGTACACACAGTTGTGTACCTCATCAATCGGTAAATCACTTCGGTATTGGATAATAAGTCACCTTATCAAACATTATTCGGGCAAGTTCCAAACTATGATTTTCTAAGAGTCTTTGGTTGTGTTTGTTTCGGTCTACTTCCTAAGAAAGAACGCAATAAATTACAACCCAAGACTGCCAAATGTGCCTTCGTGTGGTATAGTGAACGACACAAAGGATATCTTTGTTACGATCCGGTTTCTCAAATGATACGTGTTGCATATCATGTAGTGTTTCTTGAGCAAGTCATGTTCTATTCTCATACGTCTAAAGAGGAGACTGCCGCAGCTCTTCAATTCTTAACTCCTTTGGATTTTGATGTTACTCTTCCCGCGGCAACAAATCAGGGAGGGAATAATAATGGCATGGATTTGCTTCATACTCCACCAGGAACACCATCGAACCATTCATCTCCTTCTTCTGGCGTGATGACTTCTACATCTAGTACGTCCGGGAATTCCTCTTCGCCTTCTGGACCATCTTCTTCTTCCCCTGGTACCTCTTCTTCAGAATCATTTGGTCACTCCTCACCAGCATCTTCGAGCAACTCTTCACCCCATTCAGCTGAAGTGGAACATATTCCCATAGTTCGACGGTCAAATCGTGCTAATCTCGACCACCCACCTCCGAGGTATAATGATTATGTGGGTTTTTATTCGAAACCAATTCCTATTCCAGCTAATTACCATGAGGCGAAAGGAGATCCCAATTGGGATAATGCTATGCAGGAAGAAATGGGTGCCCTTGATGCGAATCATACCTTGGATATCGTACCAAGGACACCTGAAATGTGAGTCATTGGTAATCGTTGGGTTTATACAATTAAGATAAACCTCGATAGTTTAGTACTTGAGCGTTTTAAAGCGCGTCTCGTTGCATAGGGTTTTCGTGAGGAGTTTGGTATCAATTATGAGGAAACCTTTGCGCCAGGGGTTAAAATGCAACCAATATCGCTGCAATGAGGAATTGGCCACTTATTCAGCTAGATGTTAAAAATTTCTTCTTACATGGTGATCTTAAAGAAGATATTTATATGGAGTGTCCAGCAGGTTATACGAAGGGAGGACCATACGTGGTGTGTAAGCTTCGGTGATCGTTATACGGTCTAAAACAAGCTCCACGAGCTTGGTTTGAAAATTTTCATGAGACTATAATTCAGGCTGGTTTTCTGCAGAGTGACAATGACCCTTCTCTCTTCATTTGACATACAGTAATGGGATTATTGTTTTACTACTTTATGTTGACGATATGGTCATAATTGGTAGTGATCTTGATGGCATATAGGAACTCAAAACGTTGTTACATAAGGCCTTTCAGCTTAGAGATTTGGGTGATGTTTTGTATTTCTTAGGGCTTGAAGTTCGGCGGTCTTCGAATGGCTTGTTCGTGTGCCAAAATAAATATGTTGTGGATCTTCTGGCTTCTTCGCAATTCAGTGAATGTAAACCCAGTGCTACACCTATGGAGCAAAATATAAAGCTAAGTCGTGAGGGTGGAGACTTACTGGAAGACCAGACGAAGTATCGCGGCATAGTTGGGAGCTTAATATATCTTACTCATACAGGACCTTATATTTCTTATGTCGTTCAAGTCCTAAGCCAGTTTCTTGGTGTTGCTCGAGTTCCACATATGGATTCGGTACATAGATTGCTTCGATATATAAAGAATACGGAAGATGTCGGCATGTTTTTTCCTGCATAAGGTGCACCCGCATTCGAGGCCTTTGCTTATGCATATTATGTTGGGTCTGTTGACACGATACGATCAACGTCTGGGTGGTGCATTCGTTTGGACAATCTTTTGTCTTGTGGAGGTGCTGGAAGCAAGATAAAGTATCAAAATTGTCAACTGGGGCAGAGTATCGATTGATGTCTAAAGTTGGGTTAGAATTTGTATGGTTACGTGTTGTTGCAGAGCTAGGGGTAGAGTGTCGCCTACCCATGCGCATTTATGGAGATAACACGGGTGCTCTGCAGATAGCTATTAATCCAGTCGTACATGAGAGAACAAAGCATATAGAGGTTCATGTTCATTATATACGGCAGTTGGTGGCAGAAGGAGTTGTACAGCTCGTTTATTTACCAACGGAGGATCAGACAGCTGATTTGTTAACCAAAGCTTTGTGCTCGAGTAGACATTGGTATCTCTCTTCCAAATTGATGTTGCTTACCCAATAGGGATGGCAACAAAACCCGAACCCACGGGTACCCACCCGACCCAACCCGGTCAACATGGGTAAAACCCGTGTTGACGGGTTTTGGGCTGGGTTTGGGTTTAAACCCGCTACACTATTCATCGGGTCGGGTTGGGTTTGGGTTTAGGTAAACCCGCCCCATGGGTACCCGCTCACACACATATAATTACTTTCCCGGTATATTTAATATTCTAAATAATATATCTTCCTTAAACAACTAATATTCTTTATGTTTGCGGAGACATGTATAATTTGTTCTTTCTAATTGTTTAGAATGAAGTTGATATTATGAAGTGGAGAGTGAAGAAACTTAGTTGACGATGAAGAAGCTTTCAATTAATCTTATTGTTTATAGATGTTTATCTTTAATTTTCAACAATTTGTATTGATCATTTGCGGTTTGCTTGTATGCTCTAGATTGGTGTTTTTTGTATGAATAATTTGTATGAGAAAATTTATGTTAAACTTTTATTTTGAAAGAAACTTGTTATTGTAAATTTTTTACAACAAAACCCACGGGTACCCAACTACCCATGAACCCGTGGATACCCAGCGAGTTGGGTTGGGTTTGAGTTTTTCAAACCCATCGGGTTTTACCCCGGGTTTTTTTGACGGATAAACCCATGGGTTTGGGTTTGGGTTTGACAAAACCCGCCCCAACCCGACCCATTGTCATCCCTAGTACCCAACATCAATTTGAGTGAGGGTGTTAATTATATAATTACTGTAACCGTGTTCTGCAAGGACACGGATAGATAGGGGTTCCTTCCATACCCTATAAATATTGTAACTTATTGAGACCAAGGCATTAAGCCGACAATAATCTTAAAACTTGAGAGGGAGATCCTCTCCATGGACTAGTGTCATCCTGACGATACCACGTTAAAAAACTCTTCGTGTTTTTCGTCTTTCGTTTAATACTTTGATAGGCTTTCCTCGAAAAGATTAGGGGTTCCGTTCTCGCCATTAAGGAGAACACTTCTCTTCTCTCAATCTATCTTTTCATCATTCTTCTTCTTCCTATTCCAATCCTTCTCCCTAAATTCTATTATCCGAAAAGGGCACGTAACATACACATAATATAGTAGCAGAATGAGGAAAATTGTTGTTCCATTTCAAATTTCCTGCAACGAGAGTGATAGTAGGAAGTGCATTTTGGTTTTCACAATTACTTATTTCTTTTTTATTTATTCATAAAAAAGACAAGTATTTGGATTGGAACCATGATCACTTAAAAAAAAAGTAAGAATTATAACCAATCACACTAAGTATATTTGTTGTATCTTTTTAAATTATAAAAATATAAGAATCTAAAATCTGAAAATCATATGACTTTTTCAACGATTAGCTAGCCACTGAATCTCTCATAAGTATTTTTTTTTTTTTGTGTTTTGATACTTCGATTTTCATATTTTGATTATTCTAATTGTAGTTTACTACTTAATTTAAATTTTTATCTATCTTATAAATATATGATAACTCTAAATTGCAGCCCAAATATCACTCGTTCGAATATAGCATATAGGATTGCAATATTAAATATTTAGAAGCAATATCGACTTTTTACATTAGTATTATTTTTCATAACTACTATGAAGCAATCAATTCTTTGTGCAAATTTTATGGGGCCGGTTCTTTTAAGGCAAACTACACTTGTATAACCAAAACTTTTTCATTTGTGACAATAATAGCCACTTTTGAGAAAATAACAGATATAGCCACATTTTTAAAACTCGTTTGACAAAAATAGTCATTTCTGTCAAATACTTTAACACTGTTAACGATTCCGTCAGTTA